AACGCACGTTTCTAAATGCGGAGGGACACACTGGAGGACCCGGATAACAACATCCACGCAAACACAGGAAGAGAGAGACATAAAGAGAGACATGCAAACTCCAAATATACAGGCGACAGGGTCTGGATCGAAGCCACGACCTCCTGTATACCAGGCGAAGGAGGTAACATCTCGCCACCGCGGGCGCCCCATTTGCAAAGCTGCACCTGGACCACCTTACAGCAAAGTAAAGTGACAGACCAGGTGCTTAGAATTCAGAGCTCGGCTTCCACAGTAGCCCAGTCGCAATTACAGTGTCCCCCCCACTACCCCCTCCCCCCACACACCATCCCCCCTACCAACTCCGGGGAATCACAGAAAATTGGGGAACCAATTAAACTGTGCATGGCTTTCAAGACGCGTTTCACACGAGGGAGTTAAGTAATACAATTCTTGACGTAAGAGCGTTAATTAGAAATTGCATGACTTAGCTAGCCACTGGATGAGTTGGCCACGTGATGCTCAGACGGTGTATAAATATGCAGCCGGTTAAAAACAGAAAACATTGCTGTGCAGAAACCAGGTTGCAAGGTAAGATTCCGACATGTCAATCACCATCGTGCAACCAAGGTATGATCCCGTTCAGATTAGAGCGTCTACACCTGCAATGCAAGGTAACAGTATCGTACATAATGTAAGACTATAAATGGCCAACACAGAAATAAAGCAGGTGTAAATAACGAACGTTTGTATATTGATTTTTTTTTCACACCGTACCTTGCCAAACACACAAATTACACAAAACGCAGATTTAAACACAAAAAGCAGCTTTAAAGAAATGAGTTTTCAATCTTGATTTAAACGTGCATAGCTTTAATGGTTTCCCAATATATGAAGGAAGAGCATTCCAGACGGCCGCAGAAGTGCTGAATGCACGCGATGCGGTGACCGTCTTTGATCATGATGGTTTATGCTCATTGAAGAGATCACCGAGGTAAAACACGTAAAAGTGTGCTGACAAGCGTATATTTAGTTTGCAGCCTGCATGCGCCTCCATAGTTTTACGGTGTTTTCTAAATAATAATTTACGGATAGTGTTAAATTCAAATAACCAAACACGTACTATTTACACACACGCATATATAAACCACGTTCACGATCTACAATGTGTACGGAATGGAACACGTTGACATCGTGAGTTTTATGTGAAAAATAAAGCATATTGCCTATTGTAACATGCAGTGTGCACGTATATGTCATTGCTGCTGTGAGCACTCGCGACCCTAGCAAAGCATCTCCAGTGGAACGGGGTTTTTGTGATGGGCTATTCTTAGACAGAGCTGAAAAACTTGAAAAAACGCTGCATTGAGCGTGTGTGATGGAGTCCCAACGCTCACAGGGCTATCGTTGTTTTTTATACGTGGGCTGTGACTATTTTAGTAGAAAGTAATATGAGTCGGGTTTTTAGTGCCAATTCTATTTATCTGTGTTTAAATTACTCCATGTTCATTGTCTATTTTCTTGACATGTTTGTCATGATTTTTCTCCACGCGGAAAGGCAAAACATGAAATGACAAAACTTCAATAAATTATAAACGTGCATTTCACACATGAAATCAAGCTGAAGGTCTTCTGAGGGGTGCGTATTATCAGCAGTGTTGGTTCATTTCCAGCAAACGCCGCACCGGTTTCGACATTCAGTGCCTCATCAGCTTGGATCAATGCTGGTGAGATGCCCAATGTTGTTTTAATAAAAATACCATTCATGTAAGAAATGGGTCCCAATTCGACACGATAATACGTCGCGCATATAAGTAATAGTCATAATTATTAACCATCGTTGTGGAAAATGTTAGTTAAACATTTTTTTATCTGTGCACATAAATTATTAAAAAAAAATGCACAGCTCACTGACCAATCCTGCTCTGATGCACTCCCAGCCGCTTGCTCGTAACAAAGCGATGCCTTCTAGATTACAAATCCCTCCATGGTTCTGCCCCGCCCTATCTCGCGTCTCTTATTTCTTATTATACCCCATTTCGCCCCCTGCATTCACAATCTCTAATATATCCCTCACTACGCCCCTCCCCAACCCTCCCTGTGCTCAGTCACTTTCCGCTCTTTTTTCCCTCCTGGCTCCCCTCCTTTGGAATAAACTGCCGCTCCACATCAAAAAGGCAACTTCACTCACCAGTTTTCGAAAAGCGTATCCCTGTACTACGTCGTGTTCTCGTCCTTGAAACCCTAAACCATCCTCTACCTTCCCTCTCCTAACCTCGCCAGCCCTCCCTTTCCCTATCATCACCCTTCCTTGTCATCCCTTCCCCTCCCCAACACTCAAATCCTATCCCTTTTCCCCATCAGGCAATAACTAATGCACCGTTTTTAATTCTTGTGAAGCGCTTTGACGAAAGCTTTGACGAAAGCGCTTCATAAGATCCTAGATAAGATCGGTTTTAACGTGAAGAGACAAATGTGGGAATAATGCGTTCTGAAAATACAATTGTATTAATTGTGCACAGTCAAAACAGCTCAGACCCAGAATTCATGGTAATCCGGAATTCATGGTAAGCCAGAATGTTTCACGGAATAAAGGAACTGAACTTTCTAATATCATATCTAAGCCCCATCCCACTGCCTCTCTCCTTGATTCCATTGCTTCTTCCCGTTTACCCTGACTCTTTCCCTTAATTCTCCCCTACCCAGTGTCCCTATTCAATTCTTCCCTCTCCTCTGGTGTATTTCCTGCCATCTATTTCCCTAATTATTGTACCACTCCTCAATAAATCCTCTCTTGATACCTCTTCTCCTGCCAACTACCGCCCCATTTACCTTCTCCCCTATTTATCCAAACTCTTCGAATGCCTGGTACACTCTCGTCTTAACCACTACGGATCTTCGAACTCTCTCTAACCCCAATTCCAATCTGGGTTTCGTCCCTCTCATTCAACCGAAACGGTTCTTCTTTCGGTTCAGAATCATCCGGCTAACTCTGCTCGTGCTGGTCTCTCTTCCATTCCGATACTCCGCGATCTGTCCTCAGCTTCTGACACGGTTGACCATCCTCCTCTTCTCTCTTTTCTCTTGGCATTTCCGACGCGCCACTTTCCTGGCTAAAGTTGTATCTCTCTTTGCGCACCTCTGCGGTCTAATTCAATCATTGCCACTCCCCACTGTTGGTGTTCCACAAGGGTCAGTCTCCATATTTATCTCTTTATTGCTCACCGCTTGCGTCTCTCTTTCCGTCGCTGAACTTTCCCCATAATGTATTCGCAAATGACATCGACATTTTCTTCCCCTTTCCTTTCTTTCCCGCGATCTCGTATCCGTGTCTCATCCTGCCTGGTCTCCATCCAATCTTGGATGTCACGTCACTTTCTGTCTATTAACCCTTCCAAAACCCAAATTATATTTTTACCTGCCTCCCGTTCCCCTCCTCCCTGTCCCACCATCTATTTCCCTCCTTTTTCTATTTCCAAATTTCCTCAACCCGCAACCTTGGTGTTTGCTTTGACTCTTCCCTCTCCCTCACCGATCACATTGGCGGTTTCATTTGTTCAACATTCGCAACAGCCGACCCCTTATTTCCACCTCTGCTTCAAAACTCCTCATCCATTCAATTATCCACACCCGTATGGACTACTGCAACTTTCCTACGCTCGGTCTCCTCATTCACTCTCATGGCCCCCTTCAACAAATCTGAAACAACTCTGCTCCGCTCATATTCAACCTTCCTTACATTTCCCATACATCGACCCTCCTCGTGCAACCACACCGGCTCCCTGTCGACTACCGTTGTCCATTCAAATCAATCACGCTGGTCTACAAATCCTTTCATGGTTTTGCCTCACCGTATCTTGCCACTCGTGTATTTTTCTACGTGTCGCCTTTTCGCTCTTTGCGTTCTCAATCTCTGCTGTCTCTCTCTCTTTTTAACGATCAGAGGAAACAAGAAGATGCTCAGTGTAGTCGGCACTTTGCTTCGTTCATCATTTCGTCTTTCTGTTCCTCAGCGCCACAGCGCGTGGATTTATAGCGATTATTTGTTTGCTGGTGACTGTATTTCATATCGGAATGGCCTCCAGTGCTGTTGCTGCTGGCTGCAATAAAAGTTGTTTCAAAGTCAAAGTCTGTTCCTACTTCTCCTCCTTGTGCTCAATCAACGCTGTTGCTCTCTCTCTCCTCATCTGTCTTCGCCGGAACAAACTTCCCCCTCCACATTAAGCGGTCATCTTCGCTCACTAAGTTTCTGCTCTGCACTCAAATCTCACATTGTTCCCGAGGTGAGCTCACGATCCCCCCCACGCCCTTAATCTCCACCACCGTTACTTTCCCTCTTCATATTCTCATTGTGTGGCTTTCACTCATCCCCCATTCATTCAATCAAATCAACGTTTACTGTCATCAATTTCGCTCTCACCGATTTCGCACATCACAGATGTGTCCCCATTGCTTCCCTTACCTATTTCATTCACCTCATCTCCACCATGACAGTCACATGCACTATTGTTAATTACGTGTCAAGCGCCTTGGCTAAGTCTCTATATAAATGCTTTCAAGATAAGATGTTCAACAAATAAACCACAACACTGTTGGTGTACTTGTTCTTGGGTGCTTCGCGACCATTGTGCCATGGTATTTTACAATTGGTGGACACGCCATGATCTACAATAATGCATAAAAATGCAGGTAACTGGGTATGACAATTCTCTCGTTGGTGGTTACAACCAGCATCATCAGGCAGAACATCAAATTTCTGTCAACTGGCCTATGATGCTGGCAGTAACTACCATCAGCAAGTCGTACCCAGCTGTTGAATGCGTGTCGAAGCAGGCAATTAACTGGCACGTGTGTTCATCACGTGACCACATGACTAACTGGCTGTGCCGGGTGGTGGAGGGTTTACGACATGTAGTTTTAGTTACGCGATCTGACCCGAGGAGAAAAAAAAATCAACCAATAATGAGTGCTACTCTCTTTATTTTTCATTTATTTATAGCGCTTCACGTTCGAAGACGGCGATGGAACTCGACGACTCGTTCATAATGCTCGGAACATTCGAGGCTTCCGATGGCGTGCGGATGTTTCGCGTTCAGCCTCACCCTGCTGCTGCTCGTCGTGACCGTGACGGCGAACCTGCTGGTGCTCGCGATCGTGGCGGCGCGCACGCAGCTCCACGTGCCCATGTACGTGTTCATGTGCAACCTGTTGGCGGCCGACATCGTGGGCGGCGCGGTGAGTTTCCCCCAGCAGCTGTACGTCTTTCTGACGGGCGACCTGCGGATCTCGCGCGCGTCCTGCATCGCGCAGATGTTTTGGATCAACGTGTTCGTCGATTTGGAGAGCCTCACGCTGGCCGCCATGTCCTTGGACCGCTACATGGCCATCTGTCACCCGCTGCGCTACCACGCCGTCGTGACGGGCAGACGGGCATTGCTCGCGGTGGTGACGACTTGGTTCATCACGGTGGCCGTCCTCGTACCGCAAACCCTCCTTGTCTCTCGGTTGAAACTGCGAGCCACCGATAGGGAGATACAGGGCAGTTTATGCGATTTTTCAGGATACATTCGCCTGTCCGTCAGCGACACAAAGGTTCAGGAAATTTTCGCATCGAGCGCATTGTTTGTGTTCATCGCTTTGCCGCTGTGTGTTATCGCCTACACGTATTTTAGAATCATTCGTGCGTGCAAGCGGACAGGGCAGAGCGAGTTCAAGAGAAAGGCCGTGCACACGCTGCTCACCCACTTCCTGATGCTCGCGATGTTTTTCGTCGCGTGTTTCGTATCGACCATGGTGCCACGTCTGGTCAAGGACTATCAATACTCGCAGATCAAAAACCTGCGCTGCGGTGTTCAGTTGGTTACCTTCATCATCCCCATCGCTAACGTCAGCATTTACTTCGTCAGGAACAAGAAGCTAAGGAGAGAGATGGTGAAATGCTTTAAGCAGATTAATCCCAGAGGAGTCGGTCGTTCGAGGTCGCACAAGGTGTGCAACATATCGCCCGGTAAACAATCTCCTCACGGGGAGATTGTTCCATAAAGCGAGGCGGTCTACAGCACCAACGCATACACAGCACAATCTGGCACGGATAGCAGCTGTGGCTTTGCCTATATTAAAATTAGATTATAGTAGACCCTTAACTGAGAAGTATATAAGCTACATGGTATCCACAATAGTGTCCCATTACCCCCAGGTTATACTATACTTAAGGATTAGTTAACTTTCATTGTCATCAGCCTTCGTCAATTCATTGCTGGATGATTGGTCTCCCGAGGCCACCCCGCCACCTCTAGATATCTCTGCGATGTAATAATCTAAATAGCGCCTGAACGCAATCTGAATCCATGGCTCCATCTCCCTTCGTTGGCCATGCCCCTCGGAATCGTCCCATTCCGTGGATGCCACTCCCTTACCATTAACAATAATGCTCAATTTGCAACGCGAACAATGCTCACTTGCCCAAAGGCGGCGACCCTGAGGCGCGGAGATCAGCTCAGAGATCCGCTCAGTAAAAAGTAAAAGATAAAAAAAATTGAGAGGGCGCTTAAATATAGGTGAAGGGTTCCGACCATCGTGCATCATTATCTCTTCTAGGCATGACGGCGTCCTGCCCCCCCCCCCCCCTCCCTTTGTTTAGTCTGCCTGTCCGTTCATTCTGTATGACTGTTACAGGCACGGACAGGTATGCGTGAGATGCAGGTACCTTGGAGAGCGGCATCGTAGCAAAAGCTACGATGTCGAGGGGAACAAAGTTCCCACTCCACATCAAGCGGTCACCTTCGCTCGCTCGTTTCCGTTTCTCATTCCAAACTCACTTATTGTTCTCCCGCTCACCACACGACCCCTCCCCCTTAATCTCCCCCCCCCCCACACCCCGCATGACCACCACCACCATTGCTGTTTCCTCTTCATATTCTCATTATATGGCTATAACTCATTCCCCATTCGTTCATTCAATTCCTCGTCATTTGCTGTCATAAATTTCGCTTTCACAGAATGCACGCATCATCAAAGATTCGCCCCCATTGCTTCCTCTCTCATCTACAGGGTGTTTAAAAAGATGGACCCGATTTGAAATCACTATATCTCTGCAACCACGAACCGCCCATGAATGAAACTCTTACCACTTGAAAGGGCGTGGTGTAGAGTTTCAAATGATTACCGCTCGATGCCTCTCCCAGTTCACAAACAGCCCCTAGCCTCAGTCATTCGCAAGACACACTGCCTCAACGTTGAATAGGTCGCACGGGACCCCAAGACTTGGCGCTACACTCTTGGCCCCCAAGATCCCCAGACATCACACTCTGAGACTTTTTCTTGTGGGGATACGTTAAAGGCCGTGTTTTTGTGAATTGAATGAATGAATGGGGAATGAGTTATCTATATATATAAAATCGCGAATCTCTGTCTGTCTGTCTGTCTGTGTGTGTGTGTGTGTCCCGGACCATACGCACATTCATTGGACACCGGTTGCCCCTGGCAACGGCTAGCGATGCCTTCGCCGCTTTCATCGGACAGCGGTTGCCCCTGCCAACGGGTAGCGACGCCTTCGCCGCGGGCTGCAGTTTCATTGGACAGCGGTTGCCCCTGCCAATGGGTAGCCACGCCTTCGCCGCTTTCATTGGACGGCGGTTGCCCCTGCCAACAGGGTAGCCACGCCTTCCCAGCAGCTGGGTGGACGCCATATTTTTTATTCCCGTTAAAAATAGGCGCACGCATTAACACGCGACTCTGACGTAAATTCAGCAAAGTTTCACGTCCTCTTCACTCCCCCCCCACCACAATGTGTGCAATTACTATTATAGGCTCGGTTGATTATAAAATTATAGCGATTACACAGTATTATTGTAGCGCGGGGGGGGGGGGGGAACGCCACCCGTACCCAACGTCAGCCGGCTGGGAAAATCAGGCGAGGCCGGAGGCTCTGCACGGTGCTAGGCCTCGACACCCACCACGCAACTCTGAGGTAAATTCATCAAAGTTTCACGTCCGCTTCACTCCCCCCCCCCCCCACCACAATGTGTGCAATTACTATTATAGGGTCGGTACATAATACAATTATAGCGATTAGACAGTTGGATTAGCCATGTTTGTTTGTTGTAGTACAGACTTAGCCTCATCACTTTCATCTAAATTGTCTTATGGTTGTTATTCTTTGACTTGCATCCCACTGGGATTTTTGCACACAGCGTTGAAATACGCTGTTTTTTTCTGGAAGACTGCCGTTTTTTCCTCCAATTTTCTCTTGCGTGTAATCACTTTAAGATGTTTCGTGTTCTTTTTTTATTAGTTGCGGTTGTACCACAGTCAAGAGCCGCATGACTCTCAGGGTTATCTATATAGATAAAAAGGAAATTTGTGAATGTGTGTCTGTTAAAAATGTTTAACGTACTTCCCCACATGCAACACACTTCAAATTTGCCATGTGGATACCTTAATAAGTGTACACCATGCTAAAATTCTAAAAAGAGACTTTTTATTTTTATTTCGGGTGGGGGGAGCGCAATAATGCATATATTTTGCACGGCAAGTGAGCTGTCACGTCACATCTCTGTCATGTCAGCCGCGCATGTGGAAGCGTAACGCAGTGTGCCTGCTCATCTCACCACCCCCCACCAACCCTCCGCGGCGTGGCTACAGTGCCATAAAAATGTCTTCCAGGTCTAAGGCGTTGTTCGCAAAGCATTGCTTTATTATTTCAGTCGTTTACTGCCGTACGCACCCTGAAAGTTGTGTGTGTCTGCTGCAAGCGCGTGTATGTGTACCTATGGACGCGTGCGCGTATGTGTGTGTGGGGGGGGGAGCGGAACCCGGCGACCCAAATTCGATTCCCGCTCATGGCCACCACCGGTGAGCATTATTTTTACCGCTCCTGGGCCTCCCCTAGGGCGACTCAGCCTGAAACGAGTAACTGGTGTGGTGTGTGAACATCGCCACTGGGAAGACAAAGGCGGCCGGGCGTGCTGAATCCAAGACCCGGGCGAAGCCGGGTAGTAAAGCTAGTAGCCATATAATGAGAATATGAAGAGGAAACAGCAATGGTGGTGGTGGTCATGCGGGGTGTGGGGGGGGGGGGTCGTGTGGTGAGCGGGAGAACAATAAGTGAGTTTGGAATGAGAAACGGAAACGAGCGAGCGAAGGTGACCGCTTGATGTGGAGTGGGAACTTTGTTCCCCTCGACATCGTAGCTTTTGCTACGATGCCGCTCTCCAAGGTACCTGCATCTCACGCATACCTGTCCGTGCCTGTAACAGTCATACAGAATGAACGGACAGGCAGACTAAACAAAGGGAGGGGGGGGGGGCAGGACGCCGTCATGCCTAGAAGAGATAATGATGCGCGATGGTCGGAACCCTTCACCTATATTTAAGCGCCCTCTCAATTTTTTTAGTCACTAATCTGGAAGACCTCAAAAACAGAATAACGGCAGCGGTTACTTCAGTGGAAGAAGACACTTTGAGAGGCGTTTGGGACGAATTCAACTATCGTCTCGATGTTGTCCGTACAGCAGGTGGAGGGCACATAGAACATAAAATGGTTAGTGAAACTTGATAACTCATTAAACCGTTTGTAACTTTTCGTGTAATTGTAACATGTTGCCATCGTGAAATATACTGCTTTGAAATTGGGTTCATCTCTTTAGAACACCCTGTATTTAATTCACCTCATCTCCACCATTACATTCACACACGCGTTGTTGTGCCGTTGTCAATTATTTGCAAAGCGCCTTCTTCAAGGCGCTTTATAAATTAAGTTTAGATAAGAGCAAGAGACGCTGTCTCACACACATGCGAGATGACTGAGCAATTATTTTGAAAACGGACGCCCAACACCACAACCAACAGCCCCACCAACGCCCCCACCAATACTCCCACCAACACCCGCACCAACAGCCCCACCAACACCCCCACCAACAGCCCCACCTACATCCCCATGAACAGACGTCCAACACACCCACCAAAGACAAAGATTCCCCGTATAGCCAGTAACAGAATGTTGGGGCAAGTGATGTTAGCGTGCAACTTTGAATTCCGGAACGGCACACGAGGGGGTGGGTGGCCAGCACCACGCCCGGCCGCCTTTGTCTCCCCAGTGGCGATGTTTGCGCATCGCACCAGGTACTAATTTTAGGCTGAGTCGATCTAGGGGAGGCTCAGGACCGGTTCAGATAATCGTCACTGGCGTTGGCCGTGAGCGGGAATCGAACTGTGGTGGCCAGGTTCGTACCGCTACACCACCACTACCCCCACCATGTCTACAATTCAATAGAGGATCTATGGCAAAAGGTGAGGACCCCCGTGACATGATATGACACATGCTGTGCGACTGTTGCTTGTACGGAAACCTGGCGTGTGTGCCCACGGTTGATGAGATTGACGTAAGCGCTGTGACCTCAACTTGAAATCCAATCTCGCATCACTTGACGCAAGAAGACACCTACAGCGGGCCATGTTCATCCATTAAATCCGTTTCGGCAAATCTGCCCTCCGCTTAGCTCATTCATTATCGCCATCGTCACGCCCAAGAAACCTAAGGCGTCCATATAATTGACTTTGAAATATCGCCCGGAGCAAGAATTGGAATCGGTGCCGAAGCATTTGCCGTTGCAGCACCAACGTTTCTGGAACAACCCTCTTTCCTCCCTTAACATCGTAAATCTTCCTTCAAAAATATTCTGAAGCTCATGATTAGTGCTGGATGTCGCCACATTTGCAAATGTCAATTGTAACTTTGGCCCTTACCTTGTGTATCGATAGTTCAATGTTAATTTGCAATTGTATTGAGAGACTACGACTGCATATTATTTGGGTCTTTCGGTAAAGTCACGTAGATAGTAATTATAGGTTTTTTTACCCTTTTTTTCTGGCAACAACACTGAAACCTTTTTTACAAGGAATCATGTTTGCATTAACTACAATACCTGCAATCAAAATGCAAACAAAAAACACACTCTGATAATGTATGCATTGTTCTTGAAATTGATTGGTCCACACCAGAGACAGCTTTCCTTAGAGCCTAGTCTCATATGGTGTTCAACC